CATCCAGTTTCAGCCACACATTCATCCATCCATTCATCCTTGCCTCCATCCAACCATCCATCCAGCTGTGCAAAAAATAGCTTTTTCATGTTTATTAAAAAAAAAAAAGATGAGAAAAATGGACAGGACACTTTAAACACTTTCTGGAGACACTGTATCTCCTTAGAATGTTCTGGTTCTGCCCCGGAGTCTCCTCTCAGAGAAATGTACCCACAAGACACCTGATCCCTAGTTGCTCCCTGGGCGCTTATAGCTGCCCACTGCTCCACCTGGGTGTATCTCAGGTGCGATGGGTTAAATGCAGATAACTAACTTTTTTTAATTGTATGGGAACATACAATGATGACAACACATAGCACTTATCTTATCTCTGCCCAGAAGACACCCTAATTAGATAACCCCCCCCATCAGACCCCTTTCAGTTAATATTATTATTAAACCTTTATTTTACCAGGACAAAGTCCCACTGAGATTAAAAGCCTGAAGTGGAGCAGCTCCCCCTGGATGACAGAGCTCCTCACCTCATCTCTAACCTCCCTACGAAGGACAAAAAATTTAATTGTTTGGATCCAGGATCTGATTCTTACAGTTCTGGTTGAGTCCCCATGACCATGACAGTCGAATAAATCCAGAGCTTTGCCTCAGGTGAGGTAAAAACTCATGTGCACCTGCAGAATAACTTTGCTTTGGGATTCAGGAGGCCAGTATCTGGTCCTGATGATGATGAAGAGGATGAAGAGGTGGTGGAGGATTGTGGAGATCCTTATGGATTTTTATAGGCATCTGTAGCTGCAGCAGATTCTTAAGCATCTCCCGTCAACCAATCAACTCTCTGTGAGTGTGTGAGGCCACGCCCCCTCCAACATTGAAGCTGGTCCTGTTCTGACCCGTGGGCCTACAGAGGCAGATCAGAACATCTGCTGAAACATTTCCTCCCACTTTAAACAACAAGAACAACGAGAGGTTTTGAATTAAAAACACAAACTCACCTACACTTTGGCAGGTTATTTAAATTATGCTTTTTTATTTTATTTTCTGTCTTTTAGTTATTTATTATATATTATTACACGGACTCATGTTCATGTTTGTGCTGATGCTCGACGTAATGTTTTTATGTTATGAGTGCTTAGTGTATATTTAGTTGATGTTTTTCTTAGTTCATATCTTAGATCTTGTTACTGTTTTTCTTTGTACCACATGAGGTGCGAATGACAATAAAGAATCTCTGACTCTGATTTTATCTCCATCACCGTTTACTTTTGTGTAAACAGTTCACAACCTGTATCTTCAGGGAGAAACAAGCTGATGGTGCTGCTCCATATCCGATTGTCAGAACTTTAAATCCTGCTGGTTCGTTTGTCTTTGCTCTCTGATTTAGAGCAGCATCTGACAGAACCTGATCACGGGAGATTTTAAGTCTGAAGGCGAGTTACCTCTCAGCTGAAATCTACAGGATCAAACTTTCCTTCTGTATCATAAAACCTGCAGCATCTTTCATGGAGGAGAATGCCATAGATGTGACGTCACTGCAGCGCACAATGAACCACAGTAAAACTGCGCCCTCTGCTGGATAATGCTCAGAACTACACCAGGGCTCCTCAGGTTCTGTTCGTGGCTGAAGTTCTGGTTCTGATTCAATCTGATCATCAAGTTGAGTTCTTCTGAAGGATAAAAAAAACAAACAAAACATTTATGTCCTTCAGTCTGACACAGGGTGCCCACGAATTTTTTATGTTAAAATTCAGACTTTTCTAGATTCAGGTTTTTGGCCAGTAAAGTTTACATTAAACGTCTGAGACTGAGTTTATTGTAAATACACAAAAGAGGAATTTTATTTTTGGTATTCTTTAAACACAATTAAAACAAAAAATATATACACAGAATAATGGCATCATGGAATAATTAATTAATTAAATATTATATTAAATAAATAAGGAATGCAGTTTTTAACATTCAGTGAAATCTGATTTATAAACCATATTTATTATTATTAGTTCAACCCAGTTCACAAATAAAGTTTGGGTAAAAAATGCAACATGTTTGAACTAACTTGTATCTAACAATCATGAAATTATGAAAATAAACCAAATATCTAACTCTAAAACTTCAGAGAATTTGTTGATTACAAGATTTAATCAATTTAACACGTAAATATTTTACGGTCCTTCTGTCTCCTCAACATAATTTTTGATGCATCTTCTTTCCAGCGAAGCTTGTTAGATATCCAAAAATTTACCGGACATCCCAAAGGTCACCACCTGAGTGATTTCTCTCGAATCTGTCCGTGAACCCTGTGGTCCACATCAGATGCTGAATTGGTTCCAACCAGTTTCTCAGTGGGAAACCGTCCTTTCAGGTCCAACTTGAAATCTGCAGCTGGGTACGTAGTCATAGTTGACCATCTCCATTGGTGTCAGCTTTGGTGATTCTGGTATGAAAACTTTGGAAGATCTGGCTGAAGCCATCAAACGTTAACTGTTTATGTTTGTTTCAGCCTGTAGTGGACCCTCCACCCCAGTCTTGTTCTGTTTCAAGACTTCCTGTTGGCCCAGAAGGGGACCACCATGGATCAAACCTTCATTCTTTAATCTGGATTATTTACTGGCCAGAGATGTTTCTTCTGATAAATCAAGAACTGATGGAGGGGCAGCAGGATCAGATTATATTTAGACCTGGAGACACAAGAAGAACTCATATCTACCAGTAGATGCATCAGTCTCCCATAGAAGATTCATTCAACCTTTATTTATACAGGTTCGTCTCATTGAGTCACGGGGACTCATTTACAAAAGACCTGTTTTAAATAAATAACAAAGATGAGGTACTGACAACAGGAGACAACCATATAAAATTATATAAAATGAAAAGTAAATAAAAAAAATACATAAAAACAAATAAAAAACAAGATAGATCTCATCAAGTCTTAGGGTTCAATGATCTCCAGTGTTCCTACGAAAAAAAAAAAGATTTGGAGATACCTGAAAAGATCTGGTAAATGTTTGGTCACTCAGTGGTCTCTGTCCTGTGGAACTGTTTTTTTTTTTTTTCTCTCTTATCCTTTATCGGTTTATGATCTATCTTTAAAAAAAACATCCTTCAACAAGAAATCCCCATAAATTTTATTAAATATTATCGCTTTGCTTTAAAGTTTGAAAAACCTTTATACGTGGAAGTTTTTAGCCGAGATAAAATAGTAAAATCCTTTTTTTTTTTTTTTAAATATATCAGCTTCAAAATCTTCTATTCGAGATTTTCTTATTTAAATAAATATAGATTTCTTTTTAAAGCACAAAAGAGTTTACAAAACAAAAAACACTAAAACCAGACTCCAGACGTTTCAGAACCCTGGTTACTTAAAAAAAAAAAAAAAAACTATTGACATTAAAAATCTTAATAAAACCTACTGTGTACATGGATCCTAAACGCCTCATTAGTTAGGGGTGTTAACCAATCAGAGCAGGCTCCGCCTCCTGTATCGATCTGAACAGGTTCACAAATCAAAACCAAAACACTGGAATTTCTCCATAAACATTTATTTTGACTAGTTTAAGAAAAAATAGATTTTTTTTTTTTTACACATATTTTTTAACTTTATATGACTTTTTATACAGTACTTTCTGTGCGTTTAGAAAAAAGTTTACATCAGTTAATGAAGCAGCAGAAACGCAAAGGATGCTGGGGGAAAAACACACACACATCAACCCTGACTGGACAAACTTGGATCGGACTCTAACTTGGTGAAACTGACCCGGGAGCAGAGAAGGTTTCAAACACAAGGAAGGGGTCAGTTTCAGGTGAGCCAACAGAACCAGAACACTCAGGTAGATTTTGGGTTTTATAGAAGAAAAAAGTGCTAAAATAAAAGAAGAAGAAGCCGTCAGTGACGCCGCTGTCGGCTGATTTACATTCAGAGTTTTCCTCAGACACATGGAGCAAACAGGAAGTGACAAAACCCAACTTTTCTCAGAACACACGGGAGGCGACAGCAGAACTTTGGCAACACGTCAGGCTGAAGGTTCGAGAGGCGTCTGGAAAATACAGCAGACATCTTAGTGATGATGTCACAGTGCGGACTGAGACTCGGGGGCGGGGTCTGGTGGCATCACATGGCGTGTTTCTGGATGCCCGGAGTGAACTCCTTCGCGTTGGGATTCAGGCTGCTCTTCATCTGGAGGAAAAGGTGGAACAGTTCCATCAGAAACAGAAGGTGAGGCCTTCAAAGGGTTTTCTGGTTGGCTGACGCCAAACTCACCGCCATGTCCAGATCGAAGGCGTCGGCGTGCACGTCCCCGTCAGCGTCCAGAACGAGCAGACTGATCTGCTCCTGTAGCTGGTGGATGTTCAGAGAGGGGAGGTCCCTGGATGGGATGAACCACTCCCTCTGCTCCTCCTCCTCCAGCATCTCCTGGAAACACAGCTCGATAAACTCCTCCTCCCACAACTCCTCCTCCACCTGTGCAGGTAAACATATTTACACCAGTTAGGACAAAAATAAATATCAAGAAAAAAAGAAAAATCTACCCATCAGATGAAAAATTTACCAAAACCAGAAACATGTACAAAAAAATAATAAAAAATAACAAATACATAAAAAAACTGGTAAAATTAAATGCAAATCACAAGAATCAAACAAAGAATGAAAATATAAAACAAAGGCTAAATGCAGCAGGTCCAATCAGAATCAACAACCTTTGATTGACAGCTCAAGGAGCCAATAGGAGTCTTCACGGTCTCTAAAGTCCGTTTCAGAAAACAATAGGAAAACTTAAGTTTTTGGACCAACAAGGGGTCAAACATAAGAACCAGGGCTGGGTCAGACATCAAGATGTGGTTCTGGTTGTTGTTGTTGTTGTTGCAATAATCAGTTTCTAGTAAACATTAAGCGTTTTGCTTCAGCCATCTGAACCTTTTAAACTTATTTTGTTTCCAGAAAAACAACCTTTCCAGAACCAGAACCAAACATTCAGTCTACATGGTTCTGGAACAGGACCCAGACTATCCTGGATGTAAGGTATTGTGTGACGGTTTTCATTTGATGCATGTTTGGGCTCATTTTAACAACAGAATGTTCTGACCCCAGATCAGGTCCCGGTTCGGGCACAGAACATGGCTGGTCCTCACCTGTCTGTTGAACTCCTCCTCGTTCTCCATCCACATATACTCCGCGAATGGGTTCTCCTCGGAACCGAACTGGCTGCTGAGGATCACCTCTCCTGCTGGCATCACGTTGTTGGAGGTGTTGAAGTTCGGGTCCTTCATGTCCTCTCGGCTCGGTTCTACGGCTCTGCTGGACAGAGGGGGAGGGGAGAGGAGGTTACCGCTAACAAACAGCGCTGCGCGGCCATGAAGGCCGCTGACTCACAGACGGACAACAACAGCAACGAGGATCGCTCGAACAGAACCACAACAGAAACGAAAACCGACACACAGCGACGGACAAAACAAATTGTTCGGTTTTTAGCTCCTTAAATACCTGCTGAGCTGATTTCTTCGATGGTAGAAGAAGTCAAACTGGTCAGGTTAGGTCCAACTTCTCCAGTAATGGCCGCGCTGCCTCTGTTTGTTTACATCGACTGCGTCACACAGAGCTCGATCCTGATTGGCTCAACGGCTGTGCTGCCTTCAAGGTCTTCAGGTCCTGTATGAAAATGTTAAACTTTTATATACAACACACCCACACACATATTTATATATAGATATATTTATATAGATATATGTGTGTGTGTATATATATAAACTGTA